CAATCCCTTTGCCTTTTGGGACTGGCCAACATGGTGTGGACTCTGGCTACATGTCAGTAAGATGCTGAGGTGCCCCGCACTGCTGGGTATCAGAAGGTCAAGATTGGGTCTTTAATGTGCGCATGTGCAGCTGAGGAGGGTTACTGCAACTCATTTACTGGATGACCTCATTCTGCCACTACTATACCCTGATATATCTAAAAAAGGCACTTGATGGGAGGTCAGATTAAATGACAGAGCCCCGGTAGTTCGAGAAGGAGTCCTATACTTATAATAAAAGTGGGCTCTTAATTCTAACAACTGAATCCCATGTAGTGGGTCGCCTAGTTCTGATAAACAAATTCCAACTGTGGCATATTTTATATATATAAAATGATAGAGAGGTAGAGATGAGGGAGAATAATTTAGAGATTGATCCTAGCTTGTGGAAAATATATTTCACTACATATACTGTAAAATCAGTTACTAACTAGTTACTTATGTAATGCTTGTTTTTTATAAGGCCTGAGGTATAAACATTAAAAGCTATGATGTTAATTTTCCATTGTTAATATCACCTTTTAATATCTGCACTTTATTGTATAATTGTTAGAACATGATGCGCTGTCTACTGTCCTCAATTCGTCACACAATTTCCATAGACATAAATGGGAATTCTGCTTACAGCCTAAGGACAATATATAGCCCTGTGTCTTTAAACTCTTGCTCCATTCCTGAAAGAGCTACATAAATTTATAAAAAATGTCTGCTGGTAAAATAAATACATGGAAAATGTAACTATATAGCAATGATATAATGTTAAATACAGTGTAAAGATAAAAATTGTTTAAAAATATCCGAATGAAGAGAGCACATGCTATTTTGGCTCACTATGACTGCTAAGTATTAAGTATTCCTCTTATTTAATACAAATCTCTGCAAATCCTAGTCTACAGTAAGCTTTTAAAATGAAGCCATGAATACCACAGTCACTTAAAAGATGCAGTTCAGGAAACTGTGCAGGGTAGCTCTTGTGAAAACTTTTGAAAATAAGAACCTCATAATACCAGTGAAGATTAGTCTTTTTAATGTTAGCTGTTTGACGGATAAGACTCAGTATGTTTTGAAGCAAGACTTTACCAAAATGTCTGTGTGACAAAGTGTCTATACATTAACATTTTATTTGCGTAATGTCCTTTGGACCTTCTAATTAGATGATGCCATTTATTTCTTGTTATAGTTCTATTCCTGCATATTGTGTCTTATAAGTAGTATCTTTAAAGTAATCTTTATTGTTTGAAAGCTGGAGTATAATGGTGAAGACACCTGATGGTTTCCTTATAATACAAGTAATAATGAGGGAGAGTTAAATGTAGGAAATCTTATATAAACTGAATTATTTCAAAGGACATGGTATCCACTCCAACCAGAGTTCATTTCATATAATGGCCTTATGTCAATGCAGTTTTCTATAAAAATTGTTATAACTTATTACAGGTCTGTCGCATCTTACGCGCATTTAACATGCGTGATTTCAACTTTACGCGGTCGGCAAAAACAAAACAAACAAACAAACAAAAAGAGAAAAATAACAATTTTAATACTATACCTGTAGTGTAGGCGATTTTGCCCGCCATTGAACTCAATGGAATTTTGGCTATACGCGGTTTTCGCTTTACGCGCTAACCGCGGAACGGAACTCCCGCGTAAGATGAGACAGACCTGTAATGTGAATATCTATAAAAATTTAGATATTTTAACTTCCGTTTTTTGAGATCCACTGGTTAGGTGGGTTTGTCAGGGAGCTGGCTACAACACCCTGATTCTTAAGCTTCCCTAACCCTTGTGTAAGCTAGAGTACCTTAATGGTGAGATTTTTAAAGGTATTTCGGCACGTAAGGATACAGTTAGATGCCTACTGGGATTTTGAAAAGCATCTATCTGCATCCTTGAAATCAATGGGAGTTAGGCACTTTTGAAAATCCCACTAGATTCCTGTCTGCATTTTTAGGTGCCTAAATACTTCTAAAAATCTGGCCCTAAAGGATCATACCCAATTGAGAATTGGGAGAGCAGAGAAGAGATCTACCCCACTTCCTCGTGCTCCCTCCATCCCCAGGGAGGGATGGGCGGTTCACATAGGAGTTGGTTCCTGGCTTTGTGCCACTGGAGGGTTTCCTCCCTCCCCCATTGAATTCTCAGTTGTGGCCAGAATCCAGCACATCTGCACTGCTCAGATGATGCAAATGGGCCAAAACCAAAGTAGAGAATCTTGGTATAAATCAGGGTAAGCCCATTGAAGTCACTCTAGTACACTGGTGTAGTACTAGTGTAAGTCAGAAGAGAATGAGGCCCATGCATTATACTGTGTATTTATGTGTACTTTCTATACAGTGTATATAGTAAACTATATAATAGAAGACCCCAACACAAAAATACATAAGGATTTATAATCATTTTTGAAATATAAAATGATAGTTTATTGTCAATACTTAGACTTGATACCAAAACACATCTTTAT